CTGTATGAAAAACTATCTATATTTGGTAATATTTCAATCGATTTAATTTCATGGAATGATGTTGAACAATGTGTACAAGCAATTCAGATAGAAAATATCAATATGGACAAACTGTACGATGAACTATGTAATATTCAGTCAACATATATTGAATTAAAGAAGAAAAGTGTTTCAGTACATGAGCAAATACAATCATTTTTAGGCAAAGATAAACAAAAAATTAAAAATGATATGAATCAACAAGAAATAGATGATGATGAAATGACAACTGAGGAAGAAGAAATAGCCGAACCGAAACGAATATATCCAGATCAATTGTGGATATATTTATTCTATGTGCACGAAAATCAAACTCCAAATTTGACACAATTAGTTTCATTTTGTTTTTCAATTCCAATATCAAATGGCTATTGTGAAGGTGTCTTTAATCATTTGAAGCATGCATGGACAAATACAAGGCACAAAATGTCTCCCGAGTTAATTTCAGCAGAACTGAAATCAGATTGAATAGCACGAATATTACTTGTGAGCAATTTCATAATTCTATTTTGTCGAATACAGAGCTATTGAAAACAGTACGATCTCAACAGGAATATAAACATAAAGCAAAAAAACTGAGTATTGATTGAAATCATTTGTTTCATTGATTTGTTTTTTTGTTCAGCTGAATTTGTAACGCATATGTATGAACTGTAGAAAATAGAACAGTTTTCTTCAAATACAGTTGACGCTGAATTTCTTCTATAAACCATACAGGACAAAGAAAGAAAACAACAGGCCAATGAGAATCAGTTTTAAAAAAAATTAAGATATAACCGTTTTTCCTGTGTTTTGGGCAAAAAAATACGTCTTCTGATTTTTGACACTTTGCTTTTCTGATTTTTTCTGATTTCTTAGCTTTTGAGTTGGCAACCCTGGTCGTTATCCAAGTTAACTATAGGTTGAAAATGATGAAGAATTTAATGGACATTATTTGAAGCTATTCGGAAACATTTTTTTGCTTCAGTTGCAAAGGCTATTGACTTAGAAAGCTGAGTTTCTCAGAATTAATACATCAAAGAATAAAGTTTCTTTTGATCTTTCCATACATTGAGTGCCTGCCAATTAGTGTAATCAGTTGGTAGCATACGTATAGAACAGATCAGAGCTGATCACCTGCATAATTTTTCACCCCTGCGCGATACCGCGCAGGGGCAAAATAAAATTTATCCGCGTTGCAGTTTGCAGGTTACCAAAAAAATCTTTTGTTCTGCACAGGCAGAG